GAACTGAATAGATCTCAGTACACGTCTGTGGAAAATGTCAATTTTGCAAATAAAGTAAAATATTTAAAAAATTTATGTCACAAAAACAAAAATTGTAACTCTTATCTCCTAAAAAAGTTGAGCATTTTAATATAAAACTGACCAAAATAAAAGTAAAGTATGCAGAAGTGGTCAGATTGGGAAAAAAAAAAAACTAGCGGAAAAATAAAAAGCAGGAAAGCAAAAGTGTGAACGCTGACTCAGCATCCACAGCGYGGTTATTCTGTGGAATGTGCGTGCGGAGTCACTAACCTGCTGTTTCTGTCAAATCTGTGTGCTTTCAGGTCGCAGGACACTTCCGCGCAGCTTCATGCCACAGGAGAACCTTTTCCAGCTGGTTCCCTCCAGCCGCACGCGCAGCTACAACGGCGACAACACGCTGCCGTTCTGCGACCTGCGCTCGCTGGGCCGCCCCGCTGACAAAGGCTGCCAGCGTGGCACGGCCAAATGTAAGAAGAGCGCTTTTAATCTTAAAGCTTTAACATTGTCTTAAGTACGATAAAAGATAAAGATACAAAAGATGAAGCTTTTAGTCTTGATTACAGGAATAATAGTTATATTTATGATGAAACAGGTTGCTAACTTGGCACATTTTCTGCTACTTTTGATCCAAAATTATATTAACAGATTTATTTTAGAGAAATAAAAGCTTGTAAAGTAGCAAATTCTCTTTCAAAAGCAAATCTTGCGTTGGCATATTTACTTGAAAAAATAAACCAAACATTTGTTAAACTGAATGGACGCTTGTGCAGGAATAAAACCCCTCTCTGGTGAGCAAATCAAATCATTTTATATAAAGGGGGATATTTTGAACACGCGGAGCAGCGGGGATGTACAGTAATACAGTAAGTCTCAGGAGGGATAAATCCCCCCTGGTCGTGCTCGTCGGTGCACGTCACAGCCTCGCTGATCGCCTCTGTCTGTGAAACCCGTCTCGGTCACGCAGCCGGCGCTYGGCTCAGCAGTCTGCGGTCGACGTCTCGCCCACACACGAGAYCAAACATGGCCGCGAAGAAGCCAGCTAATTCCAAAACACAAGTCTCGGAGTCTGGAGCTGCTCAGACGATSTTTTTAGGTTCTGACAACCGTGTGGTGGGATTGTGGTTCGACTGCCTGACTGTCTTGTCAGGGGTTTCCCTAAACRTGAGAGGAGTCTGCATTTTTTCTGTCAAACTGCGGTGGGTTTGACGTCTTGTCTTGTGGGGTTTACAGTACGAGTTATGGGCTCAGATCAGTGCATCGCAGAGCTGCTGAGAGCTCAGTCGACCAAACTGGTGGGTTTTCATCATCTGGTGTTGTGTTTCCGCAGCGCCGCGGGCGCCRGTCAACTGGCGACAGGGGAAGCTCCTGGGGCGAGGGGCGTTCGGGGAGGTCTACCTCTGCTACGACGCCGACACGGGCCGCGAACTGGCCGCCAAGCAAGTGCCCTTTGACCCCGACTGCCAGGAGACGAGCAAGGTCCAGATCTGTCCTCACATCTGTTTGGAGCAAAACACTGAAAACACGACGTACAAGTCGGTTCTTGTACAATTTTATAAACGGCATATTCTTTTTTTTTTTTTTTTTTTCTGTCCGTAGGAGGTGAACGCTCTGGAGTGTGAGATTCAGCTGCTGAAGAATCTGCGACATGACAGGATTGTTCAGTACTACGGCTGTCTCCGGGACCTGGATCAGAGAAAACTCACCATTTTTGTTGAGTTCATGCCCGGGGTGTGTAAACAGAACATTTCAGTCCGTTTATTATGACCCCCGCACGCAAAACATATGCGGGAGTCATATTGTTTTCGTACCGTTTCTTTTTTTTTTTCAGTGATTTTTGGTCAACCATAGCACAAAAACGGCTGCACAGATCAACATTAAATTTGGCAGGATTGTAGATGAGTCTGACCTACACTGCGCCAGCCAAGGGTTTTACGATAGACCCCATATTTGAGGAGGGGGCTCCTTTCAAAGAGGGGGTGTCTGGACATACAAAAATGGTCATTGTTCAGAAATTCAACATAGAAGCTTCAGATTTCTTTTGTTGTTTAGCTCTGATGAGGGGCTATCCCCCACCCCGCCCAAAAAAAAAAGGACCCCCACCCAAACCACTACAATTTTGGGATGCACCTAATAGCATGACATTTATTAGGAATAAAGACTTCTGAGTTCTGGTGCATTTGTGCGTGCGGGGGTCATTATGTTACCACTATGCAGTATCTAGTTAAATTTTTAAATAGTTGAAAGTTCTTTCAGCTGTAAAGCTAGTTGGATGCACGTATTCAAACCARATGAAAGAGCAACGAAACAGTCGAAAAATATCACCAGCTGTCAAACTGTGAACTTTTTACGAGTTCGTTTTCTTTCCAAATGAGCASGATTGTCGCCTGTGGACCTTGTCCTCCAGCCTGTTTTACAGACTTTCTGAGACATTTTCTTTTTTTTTTATTACTCAATACTTTTAGTCACACATTGTCTGGAAATTAGAAATATTTTAGTTCTGTTGGCGTTTGGCAAAGGAAAGGAGAAGGTGACAGAAGCCAAGGTTGTGTGTTACTGCACTGCCTGATAACACCGGTCCTGGGGGACGGCAGACTGTAGGGCCGGAAACTAGAGCCAAAACGCTATTAAGGTGTTCTGTTGACAGCTAAAATGACAAAGGAGATGTTTTTTTTCCAGCGTGTAACAATGCAACACATGGTTGCAGTTTGGACTCCACATCAGGCAGACTTCTTTTAGCACGTTGTGTGTTTATAGTTTTGTTTTTTTGTACTTAAAACTTGGCTCGCAGGCTGTTTTTCCAAACGCAAAAATAACTCCACTTGAACGTGTCAGTGTTTGGGCTGAATAATGCAGGCAGTATGATTCTGTTTTATATTTCCACACGTTCCCACTAAGACTCTTGTTCCTCGTTTCCTCTCTGCAGGGCTCAATAAAGGACCAGCTAAAGGCCTACGGGGCTCTGACCGAGAAGGTGACCAGGAGATACACCAGGCAGATCCTTCATGGAGTCTCCTACCTGCACAGCAACATGATCGTACACAGAGACATCAAAGGTAACAGCAGATCTTTAAAGGGCCTGTGACGTCAAATTTYTGTATTACATATGGATGCATTTATGAAAAGACGTCAATGATAAAATATTGCAAAAGAAATTTCATGTCGCTGAGATGAACGGTTGTTGAGATTTTTGCCTGTGAAGTAACAGGAAGTGATGTCAAAGGGGAAAGTCTGCATGTGAACAGAGTGTTGCTACAACAGCTGATAACCCAGACTGTAGAGAAGAATCTGATGTTTCTTTAGGTTATTTTGAGTCACTATCAGAGAGATGAAGAAGAGTCAAAGTTCAAATAATATTGTTTCAATAAACAAAGACCAGAKAGTTTTCTTTGTTGAAGAGTTCCCCTTTGATGTCACTTCCTGTTTCACTTTGGCTGAGCCAAGTTCAAAAGAAAATATGCCAGTTATGTGACAAAATGGGTTAAATCGTGTGTWTTATTCCAACTTTCTTAAATATAAAGATGTTTTCTTTGACATTTTGTATTTGAAGAAAATGCATGTCACAGGCACTTTAATTGGATTTGAAGCTGAGAAAATCACAGGTTTTATTTTTGGTTGGCGTTTTTATTTAACATGAGCCTGGAAAACTTGACCGTTTTGATTTCTCCTTGGAGATAAATTCGACTTTTAAAAAGCTTTAGTTCTGCTGCCCGCAGCTCTGCATCGTTAGCCAAGAAGGAGGGGAATATAAAGTCTGGTGGGAGAAAATGATAGTGGGTCACATGGGATGCAGGGAGGGAGCGTGGGTGGGATTTTCCACACTGAAATGCTCGGCGTGTCGAATGTAAGGGTCGAGCTCACGTCAGCGCACAAGGGCACCTCTTTTTTTTGTAGCAAATAAATGTCAGCTCATGAGGTTTTTTTATTTTTATTTTGGCTGCAGTTTAGTGTAAATGCAACGACACAGAGTTGTGAGTTTAAAGCTCCCAAGAGCCAAACAAATGTAAACACYGGAGCGATGGGCTGTAAAGTTTACAGTTTCAGTCACTTATTTGCAGCGGTCTAATCCCTCTGTGGGTGTGGAGGGGGGAATGGTGAGTGGTGCACATTAGTCACTGATCAAACAAGAGTGGGAAGTGGGATGGACTCGGCTACATGTTGAGAACTTACTACATGAGGAGGAGAGGCTGTTGGAAGTCTGATTTATCTCATGTGGAGCAGATGCTTTACTCAATATTTGAGTTTCTGATTTGCTGAAGACGTTTTCTCTTAAATGAGAGGAAAGTTATTTTTGAGTATTTATAGAGTCCAGCTCTTTTGAAGTGAAGAAATATGTTGGTATTTTAGGAATAACTTTCCACCACCCCAGAGTTCCTGAGAGCTGACCTTTTCGTCTGAAGTGACTGACTCTCGTTAAAAGTTTTTTTTAAATTGACRGCCCTCAGGAGACTCCTGGATAACTCGTTTTGTTTGGCTCCGCCAGGTGCTAACATCCTCAGGGACTCCTCAGGAAACGTAAAGCTCGGAGACTTCGGGGCCAGCAAACGAATCCAGACCATCTGCATGTCTGGTACGGGAATCAAGTCCGTCACTGGCACCCCCTACTGGATGAGCCCGGAAGTCATTAACGGAGAGGGATATGGCCGCAAAGCTGATGTGTGGTAAGAATACTGCTGATGGAGAGGGAAGGAGGTCCAAAAGAGGCAACAATAAAAACACACGTTACACTGCAAAGACCATCCAATCTTATATCAGCCAAAAAGTATTTTTGATCTTGTTTTTAAAGCTGATAACACAATACAAGAGCAGATTGTGTTTATAGATTATTAATCTTGTTAGCCTGGAAATTATATTTCAAAAATTGCAGTTGTTTTATTCCACTGGCAGATTATTTCAATTCATTTGAGAAGATTCAAAATACAATCTAATGTTTTTTAACTTAATTTTAGATGGCTGATTTTTGCAGGAAGGCCCTTTGCAGTAAGTTTAGTTTAAATATGTCACTTATTTAAGTGGCAATTGGTGCTTTAAAATGAAGATTAATTGTTTTTGAACAGGAAATAGACCATAACGATGTGCTTCTTGTCTTTATTACTCCTTAAAGGGATCCCTGATWAGTTGTAACATTAGACTTTATTTGATAAACATTTGTTTTAACTGTAAAATAAAGACTGTGAAAATACTGTAGGATGTTTAGTTTTGTAAATTTTTAAAAATATATTTTAACAAGCCATTTTATTTACACACACAGCATTCTGGGTAAATGATGACGTGGCTAGGTCCTTGGTGTGAACGAGCTATATCCACCCTGACGGTTAATCTCGGACAATATCWGATGATCGACTCTTTTAAATGAAACCAGAGAGCGTTGACAGAGAGGAGAAGGTAGAAATGACTCAGCCTGTAACTGAAAATATGGATGAGGACAACAGAGCTGCTTCATGGAAGAAGAACCTCAGCTTAGCCTGTTAATGTTTGCGCTAGCATCTACGCTATACTGCCTTATATGTATTAGCTCAGCGCTAGCGTGACCAACAAGCTACACTGAGGTCCTCCATCCATATTTTCAGTTGCTGCTTAGTCATTTACCTTCTCCTCTCTGTCATGTGGTTGGAGGTCCTCAGTGATGAGAGCAGAATGTGTAGCACTGAGCTAATACATATATATGGTGATAGCATCGGGGCTAACGCTAAAGCTAACAGGCTAAGCTGAGGTTCTTCTTCCATGAAGCAGCTCTGTTGTCCTCCATCCATATTTTCAGTTACAGGCTGAGTCATTTCTACCTTCTCCTCTCTGTCAACGCTCTCTGGTTTCATTTAAAAGAGTCGATCATCAGATATTGTCCAAGATTAACCTTCAGGGTGGATATAGCTCGCTCACACCGAGGACCTATCATCTCAACATTTACCCAGAATGCTTTGTGTGTAAATAAAATGGCCCCATCCGTGTAATATATTTTCTTACTTTTAGTTTAAAAATGATAAAAACTGAACATCCTACAGTATTTTTACAGTCTTTATTTTACGGTTAAAATATATGTTTATTAAATAAAGTCTAATGTTACAACTAATCATGGATCCCTTTAAAAACAAAAACTAACTTTGAGTCACCAGTTGAGCATTTCTAGTAAAAAGTCATTTGGCACATTTATAGGTAATGTACACTGTGTACTACCTCACTATGTAAATGGAAATATTTGTACTAAAATAGTAAATATGCATACATGAGCTAATCTTTGTTGCTGTGTTGGTTCTTCATCAGGAGTGTCGCCTGCACCGTCGTCGAGATGTTGACCCAGAAACCTCCGTGGGCCGAGTACGAGGCCATGGCGGCCATTTTCAAGATCGCCACCCAGCCCACGAAGCCCTTGCTCCCGGAGGGTGTGTCCGACACGTGCAGAGACTTCCTGCGGAAGGTGTTCGTGGAGGAGAAGTGGCGGCCCACGGCGGACATTTTACTCAGCCACCCGTTCGTCCAGGGCAGCTTCTGAAAGCCCGTGGACTCCCGCCCTCGTCCCCTTCCCCCGCCTGTGAGGCACCCGTTGTGACTCCGCCTTGCCTCGCCTCGCCCCTCCCCTCCCCCCAGAGGCAGGGTGCAGCGACACTCCACCTCCCCGACCCGTCTTCGCTCACCAGTGTTCACCTAGTCAGGAACTGTTTTCCATCTCTCACCGACCCGCTGACCCAGACTGTTTCCTGAGAGGCCAGGTCAGAAGTCCAGAACTGTCCCGGGCGTCGTCGCCTGCTGCTCCCTCAGGAGGAGGCTGGCAGGAAGTGCACTCAGCAGTCTCACGGGCTCCGAGTTGCTGACCTTAGGAGCCAAAGCCGGAGCGAAATGATGCCTTTCACTCGACGCCCGTCAGCGTCGGCGAGCAGCGTCTTCAGAACGAGCAGCCCAGGAACATTACTCGCTTCTGAAAGTGCTGGAAGCTGCTCATCAGCCTGAAACAGCTGCGAGCGAAATGGAAACATATTTTTATACGACGCACGCAGTCGTCTTAGCAGATGAGATTTCTACTGCCACATTTAAGAAAGAAAAAAATGTAAATGTATTTTTGTCTACGCCTTACAATAAGAGTGTGTAAGTATGAATGTCTTTGTGCACTCCCAGCCCACTTCAGAAAGTCTTTACCGTTGCACTTTTTATATCACRCATCGAGACATTTACAAGATAATCAGATGAGATATTTTTCGAAAAACCAAACGTTTGCATCAGCGTGCAATGTCTCCTAAGCAATACAAACACTGCTGTTTGAGTCCGTAACCTTCATTCCACCTCCCCCCCCCTCCGTCTGGGAGCCTCATTCCGTTTTTTTCTAAGTGGCCAAAGAAAGAAAACCCCAGAGATGATAAAACTCGCAGTATTAAGTCACCTCCAACCTCTCCTGCATTACGGCAGCTCTGTGCACTTTACGGGCTGCACAAACCAAAACATGGAGGGGCCGCAGCTTAATTTATGTTTTTGTTGTAAGCTAGGATGGATCCCCTTCACCCCRCGTTTAGCTTCTCACGTTGTTCCAACCGTTTTATGACTTGTCGACACGAAACTACACGCTGGATTCTTTTAACCGGTGGTCGGATTGATGCTGGGTAGTAGCTGATAGACCATTTTGTAGTTACAAATACGCAAAGTGGCCGCGTCACGGGTCATACGGTATAAACACATGTATTTGTTCTGAACTGTTAAACTTTCGTTTAAAATAACATCGGATCTCTAAGCTATAAATCTGATTTTTCAGCTTGTTTTGGTAGTTTTTGTTGCCACAGTTGAGTAGATACTAACTACATGAGCAAAAGTCTCAACTAACTGCTGGATCATTAATAAGATAGGTAGTGGGCACCTGTAGGACCTATTAAAAAATCTGAATATCCAAAAAAATCTGAATATCCGGTGGTTTCTCAGTTCATCTGTGTGAGTAAAATGAACTGAAAGACTAAACAACAATGAAAGCTCTAATTTAATTGTATTGGTAAATTCATAAATTGGTGTAAATCATAATCATGTTAAAAATAAAGTTACTAAATTATATCCTGATGCATCTCAGTAATCCAGGTAAAAAAATCAAAAAGAATAAAATTGTATAGGTCTTCTGGACGGGTTCTTCTCTAATGAAACGTTTCGTCTCTYCTCCAAGAGACTTCTTCAGTCTGAGAGTTTCAGGCAAAATTCAGGCTTTTAAGCCCTGCCTCCATGTGACTGATACTCAAATCACATGGCTATCGTTGATACCTAATTAACACCTATTAACAGGGGGTGGAGTGATACTGGCAATAGCAGCACTGTAGGAGGGGGACAACTGAAAACGGAGGATTCCATGCAACCTTCAGGTGAAAATGAAGACCCCAAACCCAGACCCAAACCAGTGGTTATTCCGTATGTTACAGGTGTTTCGGAGAAACTGAGACGTTTATTTTCTAAACATGATGTCCCAGTGGCTTTCAAACCCCAAAACACATTACGGCAAAGGCTGGTTCACCCCAAAGATCCGGTGCCCCGGCACAAACAGAGCAATGTTGTATATGCTGTTAAGTGCCAGGAGGACTGCGACCAGTTATACATCGGGGAAACAAAGCAGCCACTGTTCAAAAGAATGTCCCAACACAGACGAACTACATCTAATGGCCAGAACTCTGCAGTTTTCACTCATTTACAGGCCAGCGGTCACTCTTTCAGAGATGAGGATGTTCTCATTCTTGATAGAGAGGAACGTTGGTTTGAGAGAGGAGTAAAAGAAGCCATTTTTGTGAAGAAAGACCGTCCATCATTAAACAGAGGTGGGGGCCTCCGCTTTCAGTTGTCCCTCTCCTACAGCGCGGCCATTGCCAGTATCACTCCACCTCCTGTTAACAATAAGTGTTAATTAGGTGTCAACGATAGCCATGTGATGTGAGTATCAGTCACATGGAGGCAGGGCTTAAAAGCCTGAATTTTGCCTGAAACTCTCAGACTGAAGAAGTCTCTTGGAGGAGAGACGAAACGTTTCATTAGAGAAGAACCTGTCCAGAAGACCTATACAATTTTTTTCTTTTTTACTAAATTATACATATTTTACAAATAAAAACGTAAAATTGCACTTTCTTTCACCTCATCCAGTGTTTTCTCTGCCAGAATTTGCAAAAAAAAAAAAAAAAAAAAAAACAAATCAGATGAATGGAAAAAAACACGGTTTCATCTGTCAAATTTAATAGCGATGCGGGTTTGTTTGTAGCGAATAACCTCTGACCTCTACCCACGATGCCGTTCATGCAGAAAACTACGAAATGGGTCTATTGCAGGGGTTCCTAACCGGTTTTCCTTAGAGCGCCCCCTTTCTTACTTCCAGGACGAGCTGACCCCCATCTCTCTTKCTCCTCTCCCAAAGACACCTTCAATCTCTTTATCAAAATAATAAAAAAATAAAGTGAATAGTTTAAAGCTTTTATTTTAAAAAGGAAAAAGAAGAACTGAATTATGCAGCTTTAAGTATTCAAAGAAACCATAAACTGATATTTTCAGCTTTCCCTGTCGCAGAAATGGTTATGGCCCCCCTCTGTTTTCTTTGCCCCTCCCAGGTTGGGAACCACTGGTTTATTGTAATACCAGTGGCACTTAAAGGAACGATCAAACCTGTTTAAACCTTCGTCGGTGCCTTATCTGTTTCTACTTGTAGACACGAACTCGCTGCCAAAGCAGGAGAGCTTCCCAGAGAACGACGAGCAGCTGAGCCGTTAGAGAGCACATCCAGGATTTGTAGGAGTTCTCTCACGTTGACAACAATTATATTGTACATACATGTTGTTCTGCACTTTTATACAAAAGGTATTTTACATTATAAACAAATCTATTTGACAAATACAAGTCTACATTATATTGTAGACTGATCCGTGACTTTGTTTTGTTTTGGACAAGAGTATGTACGATTGTCTGAGAGCTGGCAGGCATTCTGGAAAAGACCGAGAGGCTTTTGACTGGGACAGAGTTTGTTTTGTTTTAATGACAAAGCCTTGAAACATGAAATGTATCAAGTCGTTGAGCTTTTGTACATTTAACTTAATAAATCGAAGGTCTAAGACTGTTCATATGTGTTTTTGATCATGTTGTGTAAAACTGAAGCGTTTTTGGGAAAGTATGTTTGATATTGCAGTTTTTTTCGACATTTACCCCCTTTTTAAAGAGGAGTATTTTTCATATTTTATTAGTTATTTCTCATTAAGTTTGTTTTTGAAAAATGTATAAGTAATACTGCCTACTTTCACAGCCCACAAGGTTTTGTTTTCTATAGGTT